ATCTTTGCCTTTTGTCTTTTTGGACATACTTGGGGTAATTGGGGAGGGGGGAAGGCTGAATTCATTGTACTTAATTGTGAGCTCTTAATTAAGAAAGAGTTTATACATTTGTATGGTGCAAACTTACTCTATAATTAGTGAGAAAATGTTTTCCAGGAGGATGGTGAAGGCTTGCAGGGACTGTAGGAGATAAATCCTGCTTGGTGCCACATTTAAGAGCCTAAAAGTAGGTGGACTGAATTCCAATCCAATCCACCAATTATTAATTGAATAATTAATAGTAAATTTCTTCATGACCAGGAATAAATTATCTGTTTGTTTATAAATAAGGAGAGTTTCTGGAAGAGAAGTGTTTTGTATGAGCAGTGTTTATTGATGTCTAAGTAAATAAATGCATATGTCTAAGTAAATAAATGCATTCAAACTTTGCATATATTGACACGTGCATAAATCTGCAGCAAAATTAGGTATTGGTTAGGAAGAGCTGTTGGTGAGGCAGTATGATTGAAATGATTCCAGTATTAGGTTCTGATTTAGCAGTCTGGCACCATCTCTTTTCCTTTTGCTGTATGACTCGTATTTATGAACTTAATCATATGCAATCTGGAAAATCTGGAAAAACACTTAAAAACTACAGTTTTGAGAGGATTAAGAAACGTGATTTGTTCATAGAGATTACTTGAAAGTGTAGAGAGAGGGAATTTGAAGTGTTAGCATCTTTGAAAGGCATTATAGCTGTGTAAGGAAACAATGATTCTCCAATCCCACTATTTATTCTGTGTTAAAAAAAAAATAAAAAATTAAAAGCAATATAACACTTATCTCTGCATTCCAGAATGAAATTAAGATTATTAGTAAAACCTGACTTGTAAACAGTTTATACTCTCCTCTACAATGCTGATTCAAGATTACAAAGTAACTTTTTGACAGAGGTATTTCTCTATAACCCAAAGCTCAGATTGAAATCTTGGTAAGATTTGGTGCCCTTCTATAGTTGTGCAGAGCAGCTTTACTTTTCACTTTTGAATTTTCTTGCATTTTTTTCTTAAAAAGATCTCTAAAGTACATGCTTGTTGAAAAATATAACAAATATTGCAATTTCTTGACATATCTGAAAGATAAACAACAACAGCCATCTTGTATTTAGCTTCATTCAATGTCATCTTCACATCAATTGTGAATATGATGTGATAGATCAGAAAAGTGGGAACATTTTTATAGGAGTTACTTGTAACTTCTTAGGTGGAGGGGAACAATAGGAGACATGCTTCTTGTCTCCTTTTATAATTTCCAGTTTTTCTTGTAAACAATGACACTGGTTCCGATTGCTTTTCTATTTAATTTTTATAAGGGCATTGTATATGCTTCCATATATCTTGTCTTAAATTTCTGTCCTCCATCCGTATCAATCAGTTACTTTCTCTTCATCTTCTTGATGAACTATTCTTTTTTTGAACCAACTACAAGCAGTAAGACATTATTTGGTGGCTGAATGCAGTGGTTATCTTTTGGACTTGATGCTTCTCTTTGGTGTGAAAAACCCAAACTGAACCAAGAACCTCAAAAGCAAACAAACCAGTAACATGTAATTGTTTTTATTATTACCATTTCTCCTAGCCTTTCTGCCTTAAAATCTAAAGGAACTAAATTAATATGCTTAGTCCTACCCTTATACTTCATATGTTCCATCCCTGTTTCACTTCCCCCCCCCTCGCCATTACAGACTTCACGAAGACAGTCTGTTCAGATGTGTTAGGAGAGATTATTTCAGCTGCAATTTAATTCATCTGTAGGGTTCTCTGGGAAGTTCTTTGCTGGAAAAAAAACCCACCACCCCGAACCCCATTTAATTCCGTAATCGTGGCATTTCCTCTTAAATTCAAGTCTTGCTCTAGGGTGTAAGAGTTCAGCATCTGGCGAATGGATGTTACCCTGGTTTTTTTGTTTTGTTTTTTGGGTTTTTTTAAGTTGTTAGGTTCAAATATGCTAGCTAATCTTTTAAAAAGGTATTCTGTTGGACTTAGTTTACTTGAAAAAGTATCACTACATCTACTAAAAGCTAAAAATGTAGAAATATGACGGTCAATCCGAGATGGTTCTTTGTATTTTTGGAACCCCCTTTTAAGCACATTCTTTGGAGATACTTCATGTATACAATAAAGAATGACATCTACAGCAATTCTTTAAATTAAAATTTCATTCTCAGGTAACTTCTATTTTAGTTTAAACCATCCAAAGAAAAAAGATTTTTTTTTTTCTTGGTGCAAAGTTCGGACAATGAAATTGTATGCCTCTATATATTTATGTACTTAGAAGACATTGTTAGAACAAAAGGATATACTATTGGAGTAATGTAGGTAAGTGAATAAAATATCTAAGTTGACGTTTAATTTTTCTCTAAGAAAACAATTTTATAAGGTAGAACAAGGATATTCTTCCTAGGGAATACTTTTGCAGGAGGGAGAGCTGTAGAATTGCTGATAGACTCAGGAGAGCAGCATTGTTCCAAACTGTGACTTAAATCATGAGGCGCTTTGAAAGTCCAGTGTGTCTTACTTTGCATCTGTTACATTTCTTTAGCTGCAACTTACTAAAAAATAATAAATAGTAAGGTTAGTGCCTTTATCGCATGGATTTGTGCCCAAGTTACCTTTTCAGTTGTACCAAAGTGTCTATTTAATTTTTTCAGTAGGACTTCATTGGCCTTGGGTATTCATTTTGTTTGGGAAAGAACTTCACCATTTATTTTAATATGTAAAAACAGGAGTAGCAAGAGAAGCCCTGTCAGTTCTTGCCTGAAGTGATAGTGGTCTTTCACTAATCATCCCTTTAAAAGAAAAAACGTACCTGTTTCAGGACCATGACGTTTCTAAAAAGATCGTATTTTTTCACAAACATAAGCAACTCTCTACAAACCGTGGGAAGTCGATGCTGGCAGCAGCAGGAGCAGCAGTTGCTGCGTGCTGAGAGGAGTTCGAGGCTCGTCAGGCCCCCGCCGGGTGTCTGAGGGAGTTTCTGGGCCCACCACACCATTGGGCTGTGTGTGGGGAGGGACCAGGCGACCGGTCTCACCAGAGGAGAGCAGTGGGCGAGAGCTGGGCTGTTCCAGCTGTCCCTGCGGCCAGGTCAAAGCGTGGGAAGCTGCATATAACTGGCCCCTGGGGTGCACCAGCCACCAAGAGCAGCGCTGGAGGGGAGCAGTGCCAGCAGTTCGCGCGGGAAGGGCTGCGCGCTCTGCTAGAGATCAGGCTGCTGCTTGCTCTGCTTACCCGCAGGCTTAGCCTGCTGTCCCGACGGTCGCCCCAGCTAGCTGGTGACTGTACAAGCCTACCCAGCAGCTTGAGGTCTCCAGGGAATTAGAAGGGCTTATTAGGCAGTGCTTTGAGGTTGGCGGAAGCATGGTGGTAGAGACCAGGCAAGGGCTGTTCTCTGCAGCAGACAGGAATCGGCCACCTTGCCAGGCAAGCCCGGGATGAGTGGAGGCAGCCACCCAGACAGAGCTTGCTATCAGGGCAGCTGCTGTCCAGGTGGAGGGCTGCAAAGACTGCACCCCTGCCTCCTGGGTGGAGGAGGGTGGAAGCTCCACCTGTGCAAGGTGTGCTCTGGTGGGGTCACTCAGGCAGTGGGTGGAGGAGCTGCAGGAGGAAGTTAGCAGGTTATGCTGAGTGAAGGAGGATAAACAAGAAATAGAGTATTATTTGAGACTTTGCAAGAATACTACTAAGGCCCCGTGGCACTGACCTCCAGAGACTGCCGGACAAAGAGCTTCAACAACAAACTAACAGCACCTTGGAGCAGGAGGCACCATGGTCTCTTATGACCCATAGAAACAGGGTATCACTTCAATCCCCTTCCTTTTATGTACCAACCAGCAACAGATATGAAACCTTGGCAGCAGACAAAACCCATGAGCAAAATTCACAGGGAGAAGCTGCACCGGCAGCACATAGTAAAAGCTGCAAAAGGACATGGCGAGTGCTAGTAATGTGTGACTGTTGAGAGGCGCCGAGGCACCTATCTGCCAGCCTGGTATACAGTCAAGGGAGGTTTGCTGCTTGCCAGGAGCCAAGATCTGGGATGTCAGAGGGGAGATGACTGCCACAGCTGGTTAAAAGCACAGACTACTGTCCTCTACTTCTTTTCCATGTGGGCACCAATGACATGGTAAAGCAAAACAAGCAGGACTTCAGAGCCCTGGGGGCACAAGTGAAAGGCAAAGGTGCGCAAGTGATTTTCTTCTCTGTCTTGCCAGTCAGAGATAGGGGTGCAGGCAGAAGTCGATGGTGCATCATGCAGATTAATATATAGCTTACATACAGATGCAAGGGATTCCATGGAAAGCATCCATGGACGGCAAAGGAGCTTGTGAGTCCTGGGAGTTATTCAAGAGCAGCCTCCTGGAAGCACAAGAACAGTCCCTTCCCTACCAAGGGAAAGGAAGAAGGCAGAACAAGAGACCACCCTGGCTTAACAATGAGCTTTTGGGTGTACTTAAAAGCAAAAAAGAAGCATACTAGCTGTGGAAAGGCAGCCACATACCCATTAAGGGCTACAAGAACCTTGCTTTGGAGGTTTTTAAGATACGACTGGACAGGGTGCTAGATGATTTCATCTAGGCTCCCCTTCCCACGAAAGCTTGGACCAGATGATCTTTCGAGGTCCCTTCCAACCTGGGCAATTCTATGATTCTGTTTATTTCATTTGTGACAAGGCCATTAAAGTGCTCTGAACTGCAGTCTTTTAACTTTCTGACTCTGTGTAAATGCTATGTACCCAAAATACGTGATGCATTGCTTTTTTTCAATATATCCTCAAGTTTTTGGTTCTTTTACTTTTGTATATTATGCTGGTTAGAATTCATACTGGATGTTTGCTCAGCGAAAGAGAGTAAGTGAGTGTTGATCTACTATTAAGGAGGAAAGAGTATTGACTTTAGGTGTTTATTACCTCAAATAAGTGTTTCCAGTGAATAACTGTAAATTGTGCCTTTTATTTTGCAGACACTATAAGAAGCGTTGTCAAGGCCGGATGCGGAAACATGTTGGTGACTTGTGTTTACAAGCTGGCATGTTACAAGATTCCTTGGTGCATTATCACATGGCAGTGGAACTTCTGCGATCTGTGAATGACTTTCTGTGGCTTGGAGGTAGGATTAAGTGGTAATAGTGAATCAAATAATTAGTTGCTAAAACCAAGTAAATCGAACTATCTTTTATAACTTTCCTTCTATATTGTGAAAAGTAGGAATGATTTTGGTGACCAAAATCTGAATATCAGGTGTGACTAATAATTGAGTTGAAATAAAAATTAGTTAATAAGACATGAGAAAGAAATGTGTTTAAGAAAACCTGCAACATAAAATGTGTTACTGTAATAAAGCATGTACTTAAAAAAAATTCTGCATCTGACTTTTTAATGATTCTTTGGAAAGTGTTTGGTTTTTTTCAGTGGATTGTACAGATGTTTTAAAAATCTTTCCTGTGGGTATCTGCCATGGACTATTAGGAAAAGATTTTTGCCTTTACATCTACCGTAGCCACAAGTGTTTAACTTCCACTGGCATAACTTACTTCCTTTCATGTTAGGTCCTAGGCTTCACTTTTTTCCCTGCCTTTTCATTCATCCTTTCCTTTTCTTTTTTTCATCCCTGCTTTTTTTCTATTTATTGGATTTACAAGTGATCTTTGAGCACAATTTCTGCTTCTCAATTTCATACCCTTTCAGGACAATTGCTGTCTCCAGTTCTGCTTTTAGCTTTCTCATTCTACTTGGAAATCCATTTAGCTTCCTAATGGCTCTGTAGGTTATGTATTATGAAAACCTTAACACCTTCTGACCTTCCACTTCTTTCCTTCTCCTCTTCCAAAAGGTTAAATGGCTCAGGATTCTTCAAGCAGGAAAGGAGAACTTTTCTCCTTGTGCAGAGCACAAAAATATTTTAAGGCCCATCTGTTGGACTACCAAATTATACTTATAGAATAATTTGGATTGGAAGTGACCTCTGGAGGTCCCCAAGTCTGATCTTCTTGCTCATATCATGTCCAGTTAAATCAGGTTGCTCAGGGACCTGTCCAGTTGCGTTTTAGGTATATTTAAGGATGGAAGTTCTACAACCTCTGAGCAACCTGTTCTAATGTTTTGCTGCTTGTAGGTTGAAAAAACCCAACAGCAAAACGTAAATTGTTCCTACATTAAAGCAGAATTTCCTGTGTCAACTTGCATTGACCCTCCTCCAATCACTGTGCCTCTGAGAAGCATCTGACTCCATCTCTTTTGTACCTTCCCACTGGGTGTTTAAAGGCAGCAGTAAGATCTCCCCTTAGCCTCTTGTTCTTTAAGGCCAAACAAACCCAGTTCACTCTGCTTCTCATATGTCATGGGCTCCAGCTCCCTGACCATTTTGATGGCCTTCCACTGGACTTGCTTCGGGATGTTAATGTCTTTCTAGTACTGGGGAGCCCAAAGCTGGACGCATTGCTCCAAATATGGTCTCTCAGATGCAGAATAGAGGGGAATAATTGCTTCCCTTCACTTGCTGGCTACACTGTGGCTGTTACAGCCCAGTATGCAGTTGGCCACCTTTGTTGCAAGGGCCTACTACTAACTACTGTTAACTTGTTGTCCACCAGGACCTCCAGGCCCTTTTCTGCAAAGCTGCTTTCTAGCCAGTCAGCTCCCAGGCTGCACTGCTGCATAGGCTTATCCCATCTGAGATGCATGAGCCTTTGTTGAACTCCTGTCGGCCCGTATCTCCAGCCTGTCAAGTTCTCTCTGCACTGAAGGCCTGCCCCACTGTTCCCCCCAATTTCGTATCACCCAGGAATTTTCTGGGAGTGCTCTATGCAATCATCCAGGCTGTTAATGAAGACATTAGTGTATTGTCCCCAGTATTCATCCCTGAGGGACACCACTAGTAACAGGCAACCATTTGGACTTTGTACTGCTGGTCACAATCCTTCCAGCCTGGCTGTCCAGCCTATTTTCCACCTACTTTATAGGCCAGCTATCTAAATCTTATTTCATCAATTTGGCTATAAGCGTGCTATGGGAGACCATGTCCAAAGTTCTTGTGAAAGTCAAAATATACAACGTCCACTGAGTGGACATTGCATCTTACCTGGTTTTGTGGATTTGTGTCCAATTGGATTAAGTGCTTTGTATGTCTGTCTTCCTCTACTCTGGCTAGCGCATACTCCAACAGATTCTGCTAGGCTTGGGGACCTGGGAGGTTTGAGCGTAAACCTTACCAGTGAAAAAAGAGATAAAAAGGACATTGAGTATCTCAGGCTTTTCCATGACCTTTGTCACTAGGTCTCCAATTTGAGGCATACTTTGTGTTTGTGTAAATAGACTTTGCTACATGATACTTCACTTCTTGCAAGTGTCTCTACTAATCTGTTGGCTTTTTTCTTTACCCTACAGCTGCTCTTGAGGGGTTATGCTCAGCATCAGTCATCTATCATTATCCAGGTGGTACTGGAGGTAAAGTTGGATCTCGCAGGGCACAAGGAGGTTCTCTTTCTGCTGAGGCAGGCAACAGGCACAGACCAGGTAAGGATGGGATTTTGTTTTTATTCTGTTTGCCACCACCGAGCATCTGAAAACTTCTTCCCTGCCTCCTAACTCTGTAAAATTATACTGATGACAGGATAAACTGCAGGAGGGGGGTGGGAAGGGAGAATGGTATTTGTTTTTAAGACTTTTACATTAATGACTTTTCTACTGTTTTGGCGTTAATGTTGACATGTGTGCTTTGCATAGAGTTGCAAAGCTTTTGATCTCTTCATCTGATTGTTAATAGTGTCTGCATTAGTTTGAATTTTGCTGGAGGAGATGCAGACAGTTTTCATAAAGTACATATGATGTGGCAGAGTTAGGTACACTTATTCAGAGGTGTTTTGCTATTCTAAAGTCAATATTCAATAAATAGATTTGGTTAACTAAATACCAATAAACCAACATAATTTTTAAGATTTAGTATACTTTTTCTAAACTCTCAGATGGCATAACTAATATGAGGATTGTATTAACATTGATATGGTAGACATTCTTTGAGAAATGGTCTGCTTAAAATATTTTAGAAATTATTAGGAGAGTAACAGAGAGAAAGAAATAGAAACTATCATTAAGTCTGCGGTTCACCTGCATCTGGAATATTGTATGCCATTTCAGTTTTCCATCTCAAAAGGGTGTTCATGTTCCCTATCTCCCATTTTTCTACTGGAAGGAGTTGCAGATTGGCGACAAAGATGATCTTGGTATGGTCTCTGTACAAAGAATAACTGGATAGCGTAGGACTCATCGGTTTTGCAAAAGAGATGGCTCAGGAGAAATATGAGAGAGCTCTGTAATATGGTGAACGTTGTGGAAGAGGATGGATAGGGATCAGAGGTTCAGTGTTTCTTCTGATAGAAGAACTGAAGGGCATCAAATAGAGCTAGCAGATGGGAAAGCAAATGAAAGGGATTATTCTTCATCCACTGTATAGGTATGACGTGGAACTCCTTGTCATTAGGAGTTACCAGACTTGGTAGCGTGATAGAGGCAAGGCTGCTGCAACTCCATGTTCCCAGGTCCAGCCAGTCATGAGGCTGAGCATGCATTCCCAAAAGGCATACAGGCACACACACACACACAATTTATATACACACAGCCATATAGACCAACATAGACAGAAAACACAGCACTCGTATAAACACAGACAGCACTGACAGCCTGATCCTGCTGCCCTCTCTGACTGATCAGGATGAAAGCCTGTTAGTAGTATGGATCCATCCGGTAGCTGGTTTTAGTCACTCAGTCTATCCAGTAGCTGGCCACTGGCTTGCACCAGTTACTGGCACCTGGACCTACAAGCCTCCGAGACCCATTCCAGTTGTTGGTACCTAGACCTACACACACACACATGCACTCCCCTTATCCCTCTATTTTTCCATGCTTGTTCCCTAAACTGCCTTGATACCTCCTTTTCCTTGTCTTTGGTTCATCCCCTACACATCCCATAAGAAATCTTGTAAAATCCCAAGATGTTCTTTCCCTGTATCCTATAATGAGCCCCATATCCCTGCAGGCAGTAACCCCCCACAGTCTGTCTGTAAGGTGATCCGGAGAGCTGCGCATGTTAACTGATCTTGATGGATTTTACCCCTGGACAGCTCTGTTGGCTCTGATGAAGTTATTGGGGTTCAGGTGATTGTCACTGTTCCTCTGTGCTACTTTGTGTTTGTGGAGATGAGCTTTTAACGCTTGCCACACGGTGTTAAGGCTCCTGAAAGTTTCTATGGCTTCCAGGAGAGGCTGGCTAGGGTAGTGAAAAAAGAATGTGTTGATTGTTATAAGCTAGATGGGCCTTTGGTCTAACCCAGCACAGCTGTTTCTGTGTATATACCCAGGTTCTTGCACAGTACTAAAGCAAACAGAAGCTGGGTTTAAGTGCCGGTGTTAAGTACTCTTGTGTGCAATGTGATCAAAATGAATTCCTTCACCTAAAAAAAAAAAAAACCACCCATCTCTATTCATCTATGTCACAACCTAGTAAACATTTGCTGTGTATTATCTTTATTACAAACTGTGTACGTTGGCACCAGATAATTATGATAGTAAAATCACCTTATTTCATGAGAGAATACTAATTTTTCATATAATAGCTAGTCATTAAAATCTGTGTGTTTGGTCCCATGACCTATGAGTGCATTTTATGTTGGCTATTATGGTATAATTTCACACTGTTATTAACCTTTTCCCACTTTTCAACAAATATTTAACAGTAGGTGTTGCAATCTGTTTGTAATGGGTACTCCTTGTTACTAAACAAGGTAACAAGTCACAGCTATCAGAATAATTGAATAAAATATATTTTGGGTATATTATTGCTGCTTCTCTATATAAGTTGTCTTCTAATTCAAAGTCCTGTTTGCAGACTTGTTAGCGTGGTTGTATTTTAAAAATGTTTTAGTTTCATATGACAAGGTTTTTCAAAGGACTTTTGTGTGAAGAAAAACTGATTACAGATTTTTTGTCACCCCTTCCAGATGAAATGTTACTTCATGGTCTGTTAGATACTGTTCCCTAACGCTAGTTATGATCTCTTAATGTTTTGAGAGCTGAACTGCTGAACTCTGTCTAGCCAAACAGCTATTGCTGTGATGTTTTTTTCCTACAAGGTTTTCTGAAAGTTTCTTTTCAATACCTTTTTTTTGACTCTGCAGTGCCTTTCATTTAAAATCTTTTCAAACTGCACCTTTGTTTATAGTCTACTTTGTTATAATTAATTTTGCGAGCACAGTATTTCATCTGGGGAGCAAATCCCAGTGTATCTTTCTGTAGGATAAGGCCAGAAACAAAAGGGGTTTCCAAATTCTGTGCAAACCAAGAAATGCCATACTTGGAACTGACATTCAATTCGTGCCTACTTTTGAGGCACATAGGATGTGAGAGTTACCTTTATTGCTTCCTGATGTGCCTGGAATTGCACCTCTTCTTGTGCCTGTACTTCAGCCTTGACAGGATGGGGTTTCTTGGTACTGCCTTTGTGCCCAGACCCGGTCAAGAGAAGCATCTTTCTCTTGAATCTCCTGTGATTTCCACCATTTGGCATTTTTAGGCTATAGCACAGGACCTGGCTGCTCTAAAAATGTTGTGGTGTCTGCTTTGTATAGAAGCATCTTTGGAAAGAGAAGCATTAATATTGTCTCTCTTTGTATAATATAGAGCAGAAGCTTAAGAGGGCAGTGTTGAAGGGGTTTTTTTCCTACTAAGCAGAATTGCAATATATTTCACACCTATCTGTAACCATCAGAATATTGTCTGGGTTTTTTGTTGGTGTACCCTTCAACTTCTTTTGAAACTCTTTTGAATAGGTATAGATCATTCAGAAGAGAATTAGTTGATAACACAGTGTTTAAAGTACTTGTCTAATGGAAGCACTTGTCTGATAGAAGAAGACAAGGAATCTTGCCTGCTCCAAAGACAGGTTTCTTTCTTGGTCGTTGCCATGAGCCCTTGGACTGCAGTGTCTTGCTGATTGTGAAAAGGAAGCTCTGACGTTTTAAAGAAGTGTGATTTCTCACGTTCCTAAAATCTTCTGTTTGTAGGGGGAGAGCTTTAGGCTGTGTCCCCTTGAACGGCTGGATTTGTCTCTAAAGCCTTCAGTGTAAAAAAAGATTTTTAATTGCTTAGTTCCTGTTGGCCAGGAACCTGGCCACGGTCTGTTGGCTATGTGATTTGTATGTTGAATAAGCTGAGTTTAGATTGCTTTATGTTTAGCTTACTAGCTGTTTTGGGTTCCTCTATTGTGTTTTATTTGTTTGAAGTGCTAAGCTCTTAATTCTGTTGCCTGACCTTCCTCTTTCCCCAAGAAGAATTAGGACACCTGAGTGAAGTGTTGGAGTATCTTTCTGATCTCGCTCTAAACCTCTGCTTTACTAGTCTGGAGTCTGAGCAAATCAACTGAAGGGAGGTCCTGTCTCGCTCATAAAGCAATTGTTTTTTGACTGCTTAGCCCTTGATCTTAACAATTTCATTGCCATGTTTAATCAAAGCTTAGGGCAACAAGGTGTTACGTATCTGGTGATCCAACTTTGCAATACTCTTGGCAACTATTTTATGTGGATAATCTGGCTTGTCGGATTGGCATGACTCAATTATTCAGAAAATTTGATGGAGTGAAATTAATGACAATTGAAAGGGGTACAATTACTTGAAAATGTTATTCCAGAGTATTGTGTAGATTAAATGAGCTTCCACAAGGAGATTTAAGCACTGTAGGACCTGATATTAAAATATAGTAAGTGGATTGTAATGGAAACTTGCCAACTAAAACAAGAATAAAGAAGAAGGAGAAAAAGGATATGGCTTTAAATTATACACTGAAAATTCTTTGATTCTTCTTGATGTCTTAGAATTCATTGCAAATGTACAGGATTTTTACATTTATTTTTTAACAAAATGAGATTTAACATATGGTGACTACTTGAATTATAATTGGTAGTCCTTCAAAATAGCAATGATGATCCTAATCTTATAATTTTATTCAAGCCTGATGTTAGTTATAAAACATTGTAAGAGCTTATTTTGTTGGCTATATTTGAGGCTGAAAAAAAAAATCATTTTTGTTCCTCCTTTTAGGGGCACAAGAAGTTCTCATTGATCCAGGTACATTACTTTCATGCATGTTTCAAAAGTCTTCTTTTTATTACTTGCATTTGTTTTGCATTTGTATAGATAGTTACTGCCACTTGCCAGAACTAGTACTGATTCCTGATGCTTCAGTTTTTAGCTATAAATCTTGAGGAAGCAAGACTTGACTGAAGGGTAACTGGCACAAAATAAATGATGTAGTTCCATGATTGTGTCCCTGTAAATTCTAATCAAGATTGTTTCTTCTCATGAGTAGTGAGGATTTTTAAAATTTTCTTTTAACCGACAAACCTGAATGGTCGCATGTAATCTTGTAGTGTCATGGTATTCTTTCAATCATCACTAACAAAGATTTTGCACTTAACTTCCATAAAACCCCTAAGGTGTTAATCTACAGATGTGCTTAGTATGATTCTTTAAGGTTGACAAACATATAAAAGATGCTTTAGCATTTGAGCGTGTAAAATAACATATTTCTGACTATATAGAGGGAGTAGAAACTATCTTTCACAGTAGTTTTTAACTGTCTATTGAGAGTTAGGTTCAGCTCTGAAACACAAAGGTTTCTTTGTCATCTTAGTAGAGAAAGCTCTTGGAGAAATAAATTACCGTATAAATTTAGGCGTGTAATCCTACAGATTAAGTAAGATTTAAAAAGGTATAGAGCCTTGCCAAACCTTTGATGTATGTTTTCAATTTTATTATGTTAACTCTGCAATAAAATTAAATTCTAGAAATAAAATTTTCACGTTCTTTGTAATACCCTGGATTTCCTTGGCTTCTATTTTAGATTCTTACAGTTTATGTATGTTAAGACTCTTTCTGTCTCTCACCTTCTTTCTTATATAAGAAAAGCAATTTCTTACTGTTTTGTCTGAGCCTCAGGTATTTTTTTTTTAATGTGGAAGGCTCGGATTTGGTGGCCTTTGTTACAATGTAACACTTGGTTTTCCGTG